TGGCCGGTGGTGTTCCACAAGGGTCAGTCCTTGGCCCTGAACACGTCAGAATCAGCAACGATGTACCTACCACGCTTCAAATGGATTGTTTGGCCTATGCAGATGACTTGAAGCTATGGATGGATGCGTCCAATCTGGATAATGCCGACATGCTACAGTTGTCAGTCAAGTGGCAAGTCGTCTATGCATACACAGAGGAAAGTTTTGAATGACTGTTGGATTTTCATCTGATGAGTATGGTGGGGTCTTGCTTTTTTCAGTGCAAATGCAACGCCATCTTGTGGAACCCCGTTTCTCAACAAATCGAGGCGTCTGCACAACGATCGGGAAATGGTGGAGCTGGCAAAGTTTCTTCCTTCTACTCTCTACTATCCAATGAATCCAAGGTCTCCTCTACTCTCATTTCATTTTGACTCATCTGCTTTTTGTCTGATACATCGGAGTGGTTTCATAACTTAAGCGAACATACTTGCTTTCTTTTATCAGATTTATGAATTACCTTCTCAATTGTTTTACCATAATGCTCATTAATTCATTTTTAACATGTGGCGACAAAGAAAAAAGTGCTAGTTTTGCTTCCCATCTAAACGGTCACCAAATGTTCACGAAGAACACGTCCCTAGTTGACAAACAAATATACACATTCTGAAATATTCCCTATATTTTCCTGGTCTCCTTTGTCATCTGGGATGTCTTTTTGGTGACCACACGATGTCATATTTTGCCTAACGATAAACTCTACGATATCAAGCATTCCAGCTGGAATTTCGCTCCACCTGCTTTCTACAAGTACTAGTCTCATTTTGTCTATTGCCACTTTTTCAACTAGCCGGATTGCTAGCTCCTTGCGGTTGAGGAATGACTGAGCACGCGATATACAATGTTCTTGTTCACATGCTTTTCGATTTAGTATCCACTATATTCTGAAACCCTCACCAGTCGAAAAACTAGATTATCCCTTTGAAAGCATCCTACAGTCTAAACATAACAGGGTCTCTTTTAAAGGAGAGTACACAAATCGTGTGCGCAATGTTTGCTCACCATTTCACAAATCCCAAACAAAAGCTGTTCGTTGTTAGCTTCCTAACCTCACAATTTCTATTAACTCCAGGTAGCACCACTTATTGCATTCGTGCTTTACGTGCTGCACAACAGTCAATCCGAGCATGACAAGCATGATGAGAATTTTATAGCCAAGTTTTACAGGTCAGTGGCAGACAAGCATAAAATCGGTTGCTGTGTGTGTTATTGTGTCAAAATTTGGTCGCATTTCCAGTTCTTCAACTTTGTGCGCATCCTCTGTGTCAGCATTACAACCATTTCCCGCTGCCTCCATATAAGAGCATCATATGCTGCTCGGATATCACTGTTGGCAGCACCAATTTCATCTTTGGTCTCAGTAAGATTATCACCAAATTTACCATTTTAGTCAGGGAAGTAATATTGTTGAATTTACACTTGGTATGAACAATCATCTGTAGTAAAAATGCCGCTCCCTGTCACGTGCCGCCATGGGCGGACCGCCACCCGACCCCCACCTCTACCTTTCTTCTTCTTCTTCTTCTTCTTCTTCTTCATTTCCTTGGAATTATTTTCCTAAATTTTGCTTACTTCACGGAACGTGTACAGCAAGACCTGCTAATACAGCAAACCGGGGTAGCAATTTATTGACCAATACGTGCTTCGGCTGTTCCGCTTTAGATTCCCCAACCTCTCGGAGCAGCTTCCCAATTCCTGGCTAAACGATCCACTAAGAGAGCACCTTTTACAAGTTTCTCCTATCGCTCCAGTCCCATCTGAATTTGAATTTATTAATGGTGAAAACATTTTCTTCCGGTATCCTCGGTTAGCTGTCTCCCGATAAATCATTTTTTTGAGGGGGGCGTTTTTTACTAACCTATTCTTTAGCACCTTTATCTCTTCATTTAAACCTTCACTTTCTTCTTCCATAGTGAAATGACGATATGTGACCAACAAAGCAAACACACATATATTGATGACCAGTATTGTCTGTGCAACGATATTAAGTTGCCGTACTTTTCATTTCTTTCACTATGCCGAAAGGTAAAACTGAAGTGATTCAAGTAATTTAGGATTTAACTTCGGGTTGTCTCGTTAGATGTGTTCTTTAACAAGCCCACTTGAAACTTAAGCGTCAGTTTGTTGTGATAGAGTTTCGTTCGCTAGTTGTTCTTTCGTCGCTTATCGTCATTGTTTGCCTTGAAGCCACCACTACACATGATGATGCAACGGTCATTTTGCCGAAGGGGTTGAAGTAAAACTGACTTCACGTACCGCTTTTGTTTCCGGACATTGGATGGTGGTCTAATTCCATCCGTGCCCGAATATTGTAAATCTGCTGATTATAGGAACTAGACTTTGCACGTGGCTGCGGACTGGGCACTGAAACACATCGCACTATAGAATGTGTGAACGCTAAATGACGCAGATGTGTGCCGTCCCAATGATTTGAGGAGTCGTCGAACCCTTGTCTCCGCCTTCCACGTGGGAACCTCAACAATGGAATCATCATGCCAATCTACAAAAGTGGCAGTCTTGCTGAACCAGCAAATTATCGCCCGATAACACTACTTCCTGTGATCTCCAAGGTTATGGAGTCCATTGTGGCGGAGGCTTTAATGGGGTACCTGGAGAACAACAAAATTCTCATTCCGGATCAGCACGGATTTCGCCAAAATCGCTCCTGTACAACTAATCTCTTGATTGCTCGTGCAAACTGGACGGAATCTGTGGACGCTGGTGTAGGGGTCGAAGCGGCCTACTTAGATTGCTCAAAGGCATTCGACTGTCTAGACCATCGCATTCTCCTCCACAAACTCCAGAAATATGGAATCGGCGATCTTGTTCTGGGCTGGATAGGAGACTTTCTCGTGCAAGGTCACTTGAATGTGAGGGTTCGAAGCAGCCTGTCGGAATCCATCGAAGTTCAATGCGGCGTACCTCAAGGCTCGGTACTTGGACCCCACCTGTTCCTGGTTTTCATCAATGATCTCGCGAGTGTGCTATTTGCTGATAATCTAAAAGTACAGTGGAGGATCACACAGTGTTACAGGAGGACCTGGACAAAGCCTACACCTAGTCCACCGAGAACATGCTGCATTTCAACATCACCAAGTGCAAAGTTCTCAGCATACGGCACAAGATTATGCATAAGTACCGCCTAGGACCACAAATTCTACAGCGGCTACTCAAAGGTGCGATCTCGGCGTGATAGTTCAAGATGACTTCAGTTGTTTGAAGCAGACTGAAAAGGCAGCTAAGGAAGGAAACCAGTACCTCGACCTCCTTCGTAGAGCTTTCGGAAGTTTGGCCCTTCAGCCTTTTCAAAACGCGGAATCCACTATTCAAGCGTGGCAACCCTGGCTCAACACCATCTCACCGCGCTCGATGCTGCACAACGTAGGGCAGCGAAGAGCGTCAGAGGTTTGACTAGCCTCCCCTACCCACTCAGGCTGAAGACTCCCAAAATATACAGTGGACGTTATCGGCGTCTAAGGAGCGAGCTCATAATGGTGTACCAGATCCTGAGAAATCCCAACCACCCTTGCCATTCCCTTCTAACACTCAGTCAAAACACCCCACTAAGAGGTCATCGGTTTAGGTTGGTCACGCAGTACACCCGCCTGGAATGCGGCGAAACTATTTCTCACTTCGAGTGTCACAGCTTTGGAACGCCCTCCCGGAACATGTAATTAATGTACCCACCCTATCCCATTTCAAAAAACGCCTTGACGATACCCTGTCACATTTACACTACGTGCTATAGCTATAGCTATAGCTATAGTCGGCCGGTCGCCGAGTGGTATGCGCATTTGGTTTGCAATCATAAGGTTACCGGTTCGAATCCGCGTGGGGGTGGGCGTCCTCGAGGTATACTCAGCCCGCGCGCGACTGGCGGTGGTCGCGCGGCAGCGAAGCGCCGTTATGGCGCACAGCGGACACATTATTATTATTATTATTATTATTATTATTATTATTATTAATTACGTGCTGTTGGCCATGACCACCAGATGCTGGCACTAATGTTCAACAGACGGTGGATAGTGCCATAATCCTACCTGAGAATGAGTCACTCCAAACCCTTGCACAAAATTTGATAAATGTTGCTACTATAGAAACTGGATTTATGTATCCCGTTGACCCAAGATAGTTGCATACGAGTAAGCGTTGTCCTTGCTATTTTTCCACTTTTTTGTCATTGCGTGATCAATAATCACCCCTCATTGCTTTGTGTGCATACATTCTCATCCCAAACTCCCATTATACGGCACCGCATTTAAATCTGTAATCGCCCGAACTGACGAATCCATTATCCCTTGATCTATCTTTTCTCATGCTAAATACCCTACGGGACATGTCAAGCACCTGCTTTTTTACCCCTTATAAATTAATGTTCATTGTTGAAGTAATTGGACAAACTACTTCGGCTAACAATAGTCAGCGTTGCTGAGATACATGAAGGTTGACAATTGTATTTTGCAATATTGCGTCCACTACAATCATTAATAAGCATTGATCGAGATGAAACCTAATTCCAATCACGAGTGGGAAGTTACTGTCCACTACCATTGTACTGTCATTGCCATGTAATTAATCACCCTTATTGAGTGTTCCTCACGAAATGATTTTTCAGCACATCTGCCTGAATGATCAGCTGCTGTCGTTTATAGCTTCCACGTCGGTGATCAAGGGCCATGCCAGTCAAAATCTACAGGCAGTCTTTCGATATGTACCGCTATCCATGACCTATTATTTTACGTCTGATACACCTTGGAATGTCGTTCGGGGTAGCGTTTTTTAATCCATGTCAGCCATGTCAGTGTCTTTTGCTACTCTGCACGCGTCACTGACAACGCAAGAGTTGCCGCTTACTTGATAGTACTTTCACACACAGTCCCCAATTATCTTACGTACTACTGCGCACGCAGTCTTTCTTACCCATTTAGGTCCATCATATGTAATGTTTTTGCTCTCTTTCAGCACTGCGCAACTTCAACCATTACCCCCTGTCTCCCGCCCCGCCAATTATTCTTGGTGTTTTAATGTTAAGCACAAAATTAAATGAAGACGGCACACTTGCTAGGAAGCGTTTTCAACTAATCCTATTCGTGGTATTATTGATTGGATTCACGCTTGGATTTCTGATGAATCAAATGTTGGTCCAGAAAAATTACACGGTAATTTTTCCCGCAACTGTGACCCCGAAAAGCAATTCAGCAAACTTATTTGGTCATCTTGGTACGTTTTTTGATAGCACTGTTTTTGTGCTGTGTACTTCACAGCTGCTTGCTGCTAATTTTACGTGCAACTATCAGTTCATCACATCCAGCCTCAGTCAGATAGTCATCAGAGACCCCATAAAATACTGTACGGCCATTTCATCCATTCGAAAAGCATTAGCAGTGCGCTTGGTGAGGGGTCTACCCTATCCTCTGCACTACAGTAACGTGCAAGTCAATGGATAGTGAGCGGTGCTATAGCACATCCAGACGGTTGTTGCCGACCCACGTAACTCAGTGGTCTTAACCACAGACTGGCAACAGTCGAGTCGCGGGTTCGAGCCTTACAAAGGTCAGATGGAATGCGCTCTGCTGACGCATCCTGAAAGGATGGAACAGCAGTGCAGTGTCTTGTTGGGGCTGTGATGGCTGTCTAACTGTGTCTAAATGTGAAGAATTGCTATTTATTTCATTCACCTCCTCCTACTAACCCCTAGTACTTTTTCGTGCTTCCGTGTCCACATCTCCAGACAAAGCAAGCATCATGCCAGTTAAATGTAGGTACTTGTAGCGACGATCTCACATTAGCGTACCAAATATTGGCTGACCCCAACCACGTATGCGCCATTTGGGGAATCTTTACTACAACGCCAAACCAAGCGGTAGCTATCTGAAACTGAGTGAATAACACATCCGCCTAGATTGTCGACGGGATTACTTTTCTCTTCGTTTTTGTGGACACAGGAACTTTCTCCAAACTCAGTTGTATCCCTCTACTTTAGATATTAAGTAAACGATTGTAGGTGGCTCTTAGCTTCCAGCATTTCCTTTACTAAGCTGCGTTATTGTGAATTACATTAATCATCCCCTTCTACCGGATTTATGTATCAGGGACCCAAGGAGGAGGCGCATGAAAGAACGACCATGTTTTAATTTTCTCATGCTTTACGTCAACGAGTAATGCACCCTGTGTATTTCTGTATAATTGCGTTCGATTTTTATTTTACACTAACCATATTTATCAAGCCATGTAACTCGGTAGACCTACGGTGGTTGATTCACATGCCTTTTTATTTTATAGGGTTCGCCCCAACCACCATCATGGGATTATCAAGCACTTTCTTTTTGACCCGTGATGAGCCATTGTTCATTGTTACGCGATGCTACACGACTTGTCGCGCTTCTTCATCACAGTTGTTTATGGTGATGCATGTCTCTGTTGCATCCGGTAGGCTAATAACGATTCAATTGCGCTGAGGGATTTTGTTTGTGTGCACGTTCGTATCAACTCTGAAACCGATACCTTTCAGGGGATTGAGGTCTGAGAAAACGTTAATCGTCACACAAGCATTTGGTGGTCAATTGGTTGAAATTCTTTCAATCCCGGATGGACCTTAGTAGGGTCGGTTTAACTACGTACACTAGGTACCTAATCGCACAGTATACTGTTTGTATTGTGATGTATCGGCCCTTGGATCACCTTATTCTCGACTCCATCTTTGAGTCGCGTTTCAACTGATATTCGGATCTAGCATCGGCTGGAGACGATAAAAGCTATCACTTGAAATAGGTGTGCGTTATTTCCTTAGGTTTGAGTGATTTCAACTGCGTTTGAAATTGTTGGCTTTGAGCACAAACCCTCGGTGTTTTAACGGGCCCTGTATACGAGTAGCGCGTGATTTTTGGTGTTCCGTGATTTTAGGTTTGCTTCAAACAACCGGTTCTACCACCCATAATCTGTTGACCTAGACCGGAAAATACATTCGTAGTGCTTGAGCAATAACACAAACTTGTAGCTATCGTGTAATTGATTTTTACGATCACTAATGATTACATGCTGATGTGCAACTCATTTAAACGAGCTGGGCGATTGCGTTTGCGACTTCCAGCTCATCTCAGTAAGTCGGGTCGATACACATGCACTTGTCAACTTTTTATTTGTCTTTACTATCAAGTTGGACGGGGTTAGTGCTACAATACAACGCATCGACACGCCCACCTTCGATACTATCATTCAGTGGCGTAGCAACTGCTTTTGCCGCCCGGCGCACAGGTAAGATTTCTGCCGCTTGACAATTGTAAATTGGCAGACCCTCATAATTGCGAACAACCCTACAATATTTTGATTCAACACAGAACAATCAACGATCTGATTTCAGATTGCTGCTGTAACAGTGCATACATTTGTATTGTTGCAGCACTTGTGTGCAATATTTACAAACACACTCTGCATGATTTACTTGCGGTAGAATTATCGATAACACTATCCAAACGCAGTCCGTTGACAAGTTCCCTCTCCACGGAGAGAACTGCCAACTCCGTGAGTCTTCCCTTTCTATCGCTGACAGAAGGTAGCTCTTCATATGCTTCAGTTCTGAGAAACAGTGCACAAAGCTGGAACTACTATTAGCTCGGGTAAGAAAGATGCGCGGCAGGATCACGATATTCGATGCAGATTCCCCAAGGTGATATTTTTATGAAGCTGAAAAGTTTAAAGGGTCCGTTGCTTTTATCGCTCCGTAAAGCTTTCACAATATCCTCCGATCTTCCCCATACAACGAAAAATTTCTCTTTTACTATATCTTCTTTAACATTGTTAAGCGGACAATCCTCGTTATCATCAAGCAGATTTATCGGTGTAGGGAAAGCATACTTGTTTGCAATATCATGAATTTTCTGAAATCTACAACTAGTTTCATCAGGCAACCTGCCTATAACAGCATTTCCTGTTTCAACGCAGTATCAAATTCCACCAATACGCCAACAAATTCTTCACCAACCATTCGTTTCTCTTGGCTGATTCAACGCTCCTTGCTTATCACCGATTCACAGCAGAGGCTATTTTAGAATCATCCATTCCACCGTCCACTCGCTATTCTGAAGAAAGCAAACTATTAACACAATGAACTTAACAGATGTTGGCTGTAGATGCAGCTCGTTTGTTTGATGATATTTATATGCATTATTGATCTATGGGAGAATAGATCTCCAAAGTTTCAGGAACCAACAAGCGTAAACGACAGTACCAACATGAAAAGCATAGATGCATCTGAACTTGTGGTTCCAGTGACGACCTCTCAGTATTTCTTCACTCTAACATTAACAGCTGAGACAGCCCAGTGCTATTCCAGCTTATCTAGAACACGAGTCCGAGAAAGCCATCAGTTACCGAGACAATGGTTGGGAGAGATGGACAGTTGACCCATTCTCAACGTCCTCGACCAGCCCGTTGGGCGGAACCTTCTGAAGAACTGTTCAGTGGGCCTGCCACGACACTGCCGCTTGTTGAAGCACCTGTACCAACGTGCAATGTCGATGTCACACATCCCACTTTGGAAGGGGTTCGACATTAGCTCACCTTATTGAAACGAAACATGCTCCTGGACTCGAGGATCTTCCTCCATCTGATTACTGGTTACTCAGATGTACTGACCAGTTGTGTTGGCGATCGTTCCCGAGGTTACATTTCGGAAAATTGTTTGTCAGGGAATTTTTTGAATCCCGACACCAACTTTGTTCTGACTACGTGAGGCGGCCAGTTGTTTCATATATTCACCACTCTCCATTCGAAAGATGAAATGACTCTTTGTTGACTGGACTTGCTTCTCTGGGTAACACTACTTGGAACCCTAAAAAGGTGCCTTCAAACTGGCAACATTTAACCGTTGTGCCCATATTCAAGTAGAGTTAGCACGCATTATAGGAAAACCATGGAAGCATTAACCATGTTTCTGTTGCCTCCATACTTCTCATAGGCATCATTCTCCGACGATCTACTGGTCCCCCTGAGAACCGAATCACAGCTCAGGGTTGTATCCACCACATCTTTACTCTTCGCCAAGTATAGGTAGAAATTCGTCACATCTGGACTCACTCAGATAGCCAACACACACCCGGAAAAGCACTGTACGCGCGTTTCATCCTTTCGGTAATCGTCAGCAATGCGCATTCTATCGGACGCTTGTAGGGCTCGAACCCGCAACTCGACTGTTGCCAGTACGTGGTTGAGACCGCTGAGCTACGGGGGACGGCAACGACCATCGTGAATAAGTTACTAGATGTGATATAGCGCCGCTCACTATCCACTGACTTGCACGTTGCTACCGTGCAGAGGACAGGGTAGCCTCCTCACCAAGCGACGAACTTACCAAACTTAAGCCGTCAATTAACCAATGGCATTATAAGAAGTTTGGTCTGTGTACTGCTTAAAGAGGAGTAGTAATGGAATTTGGATGGTATAGGTAGAAATTAGTCAGTGCTCTCAACCACGGACTGGCAACAGTCGAATTGCGGGTTCGAGCCCTAACAGGGTCCGATGGAATGCGCACCGCTGACGATGCCCGAAAGGATGAAACGCGCGTAAAGTGCTTTTTCGGGCGTGTGATGGCTGTCTGAGTGAGTCTAGATGTGATGAATTTCTACCTATACCATTCAACCCCCTAATACTCCTCTGTAGTCTTCGCCAAGTGTTGGAACAGAGACTTATGTACAGACGACCGACTATGGTGCGTTCCCTTGACTTAAAAGTCGCCTGTTGACTGTGCCAGCTTGTGGACCTGCCTATCCATGAATAACGTGTTTCGGGTAAATTCCTTTCTTTTACGCACTCTCGCTAACATGACTCCCGTGGCCGTGTAAGAGTCCACGGAAACCTGTCTCCTGAGTTTCACACGACATGTGGAGTTCACCATGGTTGCCCTATAACTCCATTCTTTTAGAATTTTCTTATCGAAGTGATCATGAGTGACTCCGTTTTTACAGACTCTACGGGTGTGGAAATTCCACCAGGTGACTGACTGACAAACCTTGAGTATGCGGACGACATAGCTGTTATTGGGTCTGACGCAGTGGCTATACAAGTACTGCTGTATAGACGGACGCCTAGTACTGCACGCTTCGACATGTGCTTTGCACCTTCAAAATGACAAGTACTGTTGCAAGACTGGATCGACACTCCTCCGGTTCTAGCAATCAGCGAACACCCACTAGCAGTGGTGGATCGGTCCACTTACCTGGGTA